CCCCCCCCCCCAGGCTTCTCTGCAGTCTCCCGTTGCTTCATAATGGACATGGGGACTACATAAAATCATACAACGTATAGTGAAATTTGTAGTACTAGGGGCAGTGGGCAGGCTCCACTGTACAGTGCCCCGGCACCAACTCCAGATCTAAGCTAGTAACACAGTCAATGGCACTGACTGTATAAATAAAGCTAACATACATGTTTTGGTGGAGGGGAAAAGTGGAGCATGCAGAGGAATCCCACACAGAACTGCTGTGAGGGGACAGTGGTCACCATCATGCTATCCATGATTAGAATTAAATGAATCATTGTATACGAGTAACAGAATCACTTATTTTCATAAAAATCTCTTTTCCTGTACGCAGGCTCCAACGAGCTGACGAGGTTGTAAATCTTTCTAATTCTATTGAACAACTAAAGGATAGTTATACTGATGATGATCCACATTGGAAATTGCACAGCAAACAACTCTATTGACTCCCCTGGCTCTAAAGTGGGCTATTAAATTGTGTAATAGTGCGCAGGTAATTATTATCATTGTCTACTCACACTCCGGGATGCCAGAAGTTTCTCCTATCATGTTGCATAACTCTATTTCTTTCATCCTGATGCAGAGCTCGCATATCTCTTCTGCCTCGCCCGATGAGGCTGGACCAGGATACTCTGCTGTACCAGTGAAGACTCCCAGAGGTTGATAATCAGGCACCGCCAAACAGCCCAGCGTCATCCAGGGCGTTTTAGCGTTGACCCACTGAGTGGTTGAACTGTTGTTATCAACGCCGGCATTCCAGTTCTTAGAAGAGCCTGTAGTGGAACTGATGGGCAGAACGATTTGCTGTTTTGGTTTAGGAATAAAAGGAGCCCAGATTTTTTTGTTTGCTGTTGTTTTGTCATGGATAGATGGGAAATATCTGACAGCAGCCATTTTGTCAAGAGAGTGCATCGTGTTTGTTTAGATTCAAAGTGGAGAGCATCCCTAACAACTCTAGAACCAGAAAGGGTTGAAGGTTCAACAGCAAGATGCATCTTAAATATTCGTGGTAAAGGTTTAGTTTGACATTTTGGGAACCTTTGCTTCCTTTCTAAGAGCTGAATGAGGAGATGGATACCACTCTTACGTTTGTAAATATAAAGCTACAGCCAGTAGTGTAGCTTAGCTGTTTCTTGGCCGGGTGCAGTGACTTCCTTCAGCCGTTTGCACCATGCTGTTCTTCAGTTCATATTTAACATAGTTTGAACATAAAGTGAAGTTTTAAATTAAAACACTAATACTAAATATTTCCACCCACAGACTGACAGGTTTAACTGTAACTAACTGAACCAACAGACAAAATTAACCTTAGCTTCCTAATCCATGACCCACGTAGCCTACTATAATAATAATTTATATTATGAATAATTAGGCTACGTGCAATTGTGTTGTGATAATGACTGATGTGAGGGATCACCTGCAGCTTGCGTGGCGGAATTTATTGCCCTTTTGGCTCAGTAGGCTCCAGTGATCAATAGGGCCGTAATTGACAGCAGCACACGCAGTGGAAGATGGGAAACTGGAGAACCAAGTTTGGCATTGCAGACGATTTTGAAAACGTTTCAGGGACTTTCGGAGGAGGTGCACTGAAGTTGAGCTGTGACCGTGTAGTAAAACCACCTCTCTCTCTCTCTCTCTCTCTCTCTCTCTCTCTGTCTCTCTCTCCCTCCCCC